TAGCTGCTTTATATATAGTTTACGTATACAGCTCAATGTGCAGGGTCATGATGTGATGCTACGGCGCCTGCAAAGTCGCGCTGGTCCCACGCTGCCAAAAAGCCAAAACGTACGATTTCGTCAACGTGTTGAGAAAATTCCGGCTCGAATACATCTTACCCCATCTTCTTTGGCAACCAGACAGGTTAAACAACTAATCGCTAAAATTATCTAAGTGTGAATATCTTAGTATGGTGCTGTCCCGAAGCCTCATAAAGATCTAAATGTTAAACAACAATTTGAGGCTCCAAAATTTTATTTCAAAAAGCTTCAAAACACTTAATTTCAAAAGCTTTCCAAAAGTTTGCAATATTTCGGTGCCTAGCACCCTTCGTCAGGCGCGTTCGCCTCAATGCAGCTTCTAAAATTTACCCAACGAAAATTCATGTGAATAGATAAAATACTAACAACAAATCTCATAGTTCTCGAGCAGTTATTTCTTGTTATTGTGCCGAACAGGTTTACTATGGTGGAATTTTTATTCGCTTAACATTTCGACAAATTCACGTTGTCAAAGGCCTGAAAGCGTTTCGAAACAATCAAATGCTGCCTACACGCCTAACATGAATCCTCTTTCGACTAAGTGTTACCCACCCTTATGAATCGCGGAGCCGATATTCGGCCAGCCTCCCTCAGCGAAGTATGAAATCAGTAGAATAAATGAGACCAACCATTCGTGCACTGCTTACTAGGAGTGTACGTGCTGCATTATTTCCTCACTGTCACAGCTTACAGAGAGGGATAGTGCAAAAAATCGACAAGTCTTATAGTCACTTAACATGAATACACCGTGCACAACACAAACAATCATGCCAACAAACAACATGCGTTGACTGATGACTTCGTAAGTTGGTCTCCTTGACGCACAGCTGTCGATTCTCCGCGTCTCCGTCGTCGGTCCAATTTCCTGAGTCTCGACTAAAAACATGTGTGTCCAACCGGCACTGGGGTCGACGGCAGTGACCGTTTTGAATGGTCGCGTTGCAGAACCCATCGCAAAATGATGAGTCCTGCGACAAAACCCTCAAACGGTTCTCGCTGCATGTCGGTTATGTGGATATGTACCCAGGGTTGCTGATACGTCCTGGAAGTTGGAGTGCCTGTTGGGGATACGCCCCGAGGTTGAGGACCCATCCCCAATGTGGATGAGGAGACCCATCCCCGGCCAGGATTTGCTGCAAACGGGCCCCTGGCGTCCCTAGAATGCGCCTCGAGTGGTAAAAGTGGCAGTAGATGATGTGTCAACAAGGTTTAAATTGAACGGCAATCATCTTGATTCCTAAAATCAGTATTTTTTAATCAAAGAACTCTAATGAGGGCATCATAGTTACGATAAGAAAGTATATAGGTTGTAGCGAAAGCCTTTGCGGTTTTCGACAGTTATTGTTTTACTGACTGACTTTTTGAAAGAAACAAAATACATGAGGGAGCAGGGCAATCACCATCACACACTATCACTGTTTGCCACTTTTAGGGCTGCCTCCAGCCATTGACTGCCCTAAGCTCGACTCGAAAAAGTTACGCGAACAGTGATCTATGTCATCTTCACCTTCGAACGTTTTCTCTCGTATAGCATTCGAAAGCGAAAGAAAAAGGTGGTAGTCTGTTGTACCAGTTTCCTGGCTGTACGGTGAGTGGCTTCCCACTTCCCATCCGTGGGTCGAGTTGCTTCTGTCGGGTCACTGTTGTAGTGCGTGGACGAACGCTGTCGTGCAGGAATCAGATCGTGCCGCAATTTCGATGCTTCTCTGCGATCTTGGTGGCCATTCTAGCTCCCAATAGCACAAGTCCACCGCGAGAGTAGCGCAGCGCGGCAGTAGCTCGTAATGGATAATGCCTTAGCAGTCTCACCAAAAACAGATCATAACCTTCAGAGGGTGAACACCTGCCTTCTGTTGCGGCTCAGGCTGGTCACCCTTGTCAACCCAGCGTCGGCGGGCCTTGATGTTGACCTACAGACAGCACTTCTCATCCTGTGTGACGACGGACTTCAGCCAACCATCCGTGCGCCTGTACGAGAGCCATTCATTAGTCACCTCGGCACGTTGCGGACAATCGTGTACGGTCAAGCTGTGGGGTACGCACTGTCCCAGGTTGTGCACCTTTCCCAACTGATGCAGGTGACCGGCAGTGATGCTAAAGGATACACCTGAGACTTATGCAACTTCACGCGCAGTTTGCCTTGGGTCTGCCCACACCAGCTTACGCAAACGATCATTGTCGACTTCGAGTTCACGTCCCGATCAAGTGGAACTTTCAAGCTTGGAGTCTCCCTCGCGGAAGCGTTCAGACCAACCTTGTGCAGTGCATTCGGATACCCTACGTTCTCCACACGCAGCATCAATGCGACGTCTGGATTAGGCTGCTGATTCGCCAAATATCAACCCGTATAGTAAAAGGTCATGAAAGTACTGTTGTGAAAGTTGCATATTGCAGAAACGTGATAAGCTACAGGTAATAGCTAATAATTATACTGAACTTGCACATATATGTTCTCCTTATATATGCACGAGCCAAGTTGCTGGCAGGCGTTTAGCAGGTTGAAAAATCGGATTTTTTGAAAACGTCTCTCTCTAAAACTTCCCTACAACGTAATATTAGAATGGAAAGAAGGTGTCGACACACTCAGATCAAGCTGTTTCTGGATTTTGAAGCTTTCATATGTGTATGCAATAGAAGAAGACTGTGCTGTGTACGGTGCTCCGATTAGTTTTTTCAACAATGGCGCCTTTATCACACAATACCAACTTCCATCGTGAGACCGACAGAGCGCTTATCTTGTTCGAACTTCGCGCGGAGAAATTGGTTAGCAAGACGGGGCGCAGTATCAATTCCGTGATAGGTCAGGACATCCCTCAGTGGCGTAACAAAATGGGTCTAACTCTCACCAGTGGAGAGCTTAGTCCTTTGACGCAACGCACGGCTACTGCCGATCTTGGTGTCGTCCGAGTTCTAATCAAAGATCAGTCGACGCAATTGTCACATTTTTTGGCATAGCGCCTCATGTGCTGCATACGCTCATCTTCGGGATCGTTAGGGGTTGGGCAAGTCTTGTAAATGTGGTCAATGGGTATTGCATGATCAACCGAGCGGATATCTACACCAACAGGGTGCGTAGCAACAGAATCGTCCGGAGTCCCGCGCTTGTGGTCGCGGCCGCGACGTCGCGACTGTGGTGGACGAGTTGGGCGTGATTGCGCGCAGCGTGATTAGTTAGTGCGACTTAGTCGCTGTCTTGGTTTTTGAATGGTTACATAACAAAACTTGCATTACAGGAGTATGCTGACCAACTCGGAATACCGTTTCTGGAGAGTCTTCGACAAACGTTGAGCAGGTTAGTGTTTCTCATGAAGATTTTGCGTTCCACCAATCAGGTTTTTTTTGTCTAAATCAATATGTGGAGTGATATCTTTCGTGAATGAATTTTCAAACCTTTGATTTTGTTTGTTATTTTTTGACCTCTTTAACTACTAAGTAACTGCCTAGGAAACTTTTTATTGTTGAATATTGTTTAGGCGTTCTTGACAAGGACATCGGAGATAAAGTCACGCATGAGTCCTGTGCAAGGAGCAGGCGGTGCTCCCGCTGTGCGCATACAGGTTCCCAGCCTGTGCAGGACAAGAAGAGCGGTGGATGTTGCTGAACGAGACTGCTGGACCAGACCGTAAAATGCCTATCATTCATTTTTTTCCGTTTATATGCATTTTCCATACTAGATCAACTTTACACCGTGATTGTCGTTCTCCATTTATATTCACACAATCGCGTTCTAATTTATTCTTTCAATCTTGTGCTAAACTACCCTATGGCAATCTCGCAGGTAATGGGTGTTTTGTTTGAAAGGTGGTATACTTGTCTGCGTCTGTTCATTTTTTTGCATCCAACTGGCTGGTAGATGTGGTTGAAATCCATCTGTTAGCTTTTGTATAGAGCTGCACAGCACCGTATTTTCACAGCTTTAACCGTAGTTGGCCATGTGACCCATTCCAATTTCTGCTACAGCTGCCGTGGCTTGACGTGCGAGAGTCTTGGGTCGCAACATAAGCTATCATATCAGTAGCAGAGCCCTTTCAAACGTCTAATCTTTTTCCAACTCAGTACCGTCACACTTCGTTAGGAGCTCTTATCAATAATGAAGTGGTTGCTTTCATGTGTACTGGGAACTTGAGAATCTGGACCTTGCCTCATCCAGAGGAATTGCATAAGTGGAAACGTCTCAGGAAACATGACGTTATCCGCCGCCGTCGGATGAGGAAGGCTATGTTCTATTTCAAGGAGACCCCACAGTAAAGAACTTTTCCTTGTTGGCACACTCTAATTGTTCCATAGACAACTATCGGAAGTTCGCCACTTTAAGGGGAGCCTCACATGGGCTAGAAGGTGCAGTAACACTCGTTTCATCGTCCGGAGGGTCGCAGGAAATCTCAGCGCGGCTTCTTTTTTAATTCACAGTGGAGTGCGCGGCCCGTTCTCCAGTCAGGTTGATCCAATAAGGCCTCATCGGCGGGTTCACGGAAGGACATTATCGTGGTTTTCTCGGAGCGAGCCAGAGGGGTACTCATCCCGTTGTGAGACACCCCATTCCCGGTAAGTCTAAAAACATTGTCGCTTCATGTACGCTGTGACTTGAAAGTTTTCTTAAGGAGGGCCGCATTGCTACACCTTCGAACATCTGAGGACCACGTCGCAGGGCTGCGTCGTATACAGCTGCATCGGCTGTAAGAAGGATGGGAGAACAACAAGTGTGGCGGTACTGAGTTGGAAAAAGATTAGACGTTTGAAAGGGCTCTGCTACTGATATGATAGCTTATGTTGCGACTCAAGACTCGCGCACGTCAAGCCACGG